CCTCGAAGGTGTTATTAGCACCCTGCCTCCGAAGCTGTACACCCCAAACGTTTCTGCTTTATGTTTTCTGTAAAATCTTGGCTTGTCACTGTTTTCTATTTTGGCAGTTTGCAGACAAAGCATGATCTCACTGCAGGATGTTTCCCCTGGCATTTTACACCCAGCCAAGAGCCGTTTCCCTCTGTGTTCTGCAAAGAAGTAAACAAAACACCAAATACCCCCCACCCACCGCCATATATATATATATATATTCCTGTTGTTTGACAAATCCAAATTCAAAACAAAGACTTAGGCTGTACCAAGCCGACTTGTTCAAGGACTGGAGAAAAATCTAATTATTTATTGCCTAGCCTTTTAACGTGGGCAAACAGCAATTTAAGATTTAAGCAAAGGGCTTAAGAGGGGGAAAAGAAAACCCAGAGGGGTGGATGGGAGAAGAGGAAGAATGAGGAGGAAGGAAGGAAGGCAAAAGTTTCAAAACCAACAGCCTCTTTTTTTCCCCCATCACGGAGTTGAAACTGCTGAAGTTGGTAGGTTTTGCTAAACAGGGCACAATTCTGATTAAAAAAAAACAAAAAACCTCTCCACCACCATACTTTCGATTTTAAATGACGTTTAAAGAATAGAAAGTCAGACTTAAGTACTTCAATTTATTTCTAAAGAGTTCAGGTAGACCTCCACGAATTATCACAGTTGAGCCCAAATTTTTTGTAAACGAGAGATTTGTTCTGTGACTTTTGTCCCATTTTATGACCGTCCTTGCCACCGTTGTTAAATGAATTACTGCAGTTCTTAATACGGTTGTTAAGTGAATCTGGCTTCCCCAACTGACCTGGCTTGTCAGAAGGTAGCAGAAGGTATGACAGGAGATTGCAACCGTCATAAATATGATTCAGTTGCCAAGGGACTGAATTCTGATCCCAGGACCACAGGGAGGCTATGGTCTCTTTTTTCATGGTTTACGTTTAAACGGTCACTAAACGAACTGTTGTAAGTGGAGGATTTTCTGTACAGGATTGGAAAGGAGGAGACAAAACAAAGAAAAGGAAATGAACAAAAGAATGCAAAATTCCTGTCTGGGAAGGTTAGGCGTAATCCGAACCCCGTCACTCTCTGAGATGGGACACAATCCACCATCTCTGCATTGAGAACCACCACTAGATAAGATTGAATTTCTCCAGACTCCCCCTTTGGATTAAAATTCCCCTGGAGCACACACTCAAAAAAAGAGACTTGCAAAAACTTTGGTGCACCATTTCGTTCATGGCGCAGATCGGCTTTCATCGAAAGGCACAGATTGAAACTGCGTTTCCTTGGAAATCAAGATTGTCCGTAAGGAAAAACAAGACCAAGTGGAGGGAAAACAAGACCAAGCGGAGGAAAAACTTCCCAGCATTTTCAAAAAAAAAAAAAAAAAAGAGACAGTTAAAGCTGGCAAGAACCTAATAACGAGAAACCACAGAGAGCAGAGCAAGGATGGCCTAACGAGGTTTGTTTTGACCAGCCTTTTATCGTGTATCGTATTCTGGTAAATGCTGCCACTTAATCCAAACAAACAAATGGGAGGGGAAAAAAGGAAGGAGTAATAATAATAATAATAATAGTAATAATGATGGTGATAACAGTTGGGAAGCGTCTGCCAACAGGGGGGAAAGAGGGACGTACGGGTTTCTGATTTCCAAAAAGGAAAAGATCTTTGCTGGAAAACTTTCCCGGGGACCAATCAGGAAGACGCAGGGCAAGGGTGCACCAAATTAGGTAAGCGAATGGTGCCAAAAGGGGTGGGATGAGATGTGGAGGGGGAAGGCGAGAGGGGGGAGGGGAAACAGGGAAGGGGAGGAAAGCTGATCTCATGAGGAACAGCTTCCAGGCACCGCCAGGAGGGGGAGGAACCCGGAGAGAAAACTTCCAACAGAAAATAATTTCCGCCTTCTCGCCAGGATGGTTGGCATTCCTCAAAAGGAGCCTGCAAAAGCTTTGCCGTGGCAGGCTCAAAAAACAAGCCTCTTGGAGGGGCCTCCCACTCCCCCACCCCAGTTTACACACACACACAAAGTTCTGGTGCGTTAAGGTAGAGTGCCTTGGAATACGGAGGCTCTGTTTGGCACCGTCTTCGGCTTCCTCCTTGTGGGGCAACAGCGCTATAATACAAGAGCGAACAATAGATACAAACTCAAAGTAAACCGCACCAAACTTGATTGCAGGAAATACGACTTCAGCAACCGAGTGGTCAATGTCTGGAATCCTCTACCTGACTCTGTGGTTTCTTCCCCAAACCCCAAAAACTTTAACCTTAGACTGTCTACTATGGACCTCACCCCTTTCCTAAGAGGTCTGTAGGGGGCGTGCATAAGCGCACCAACGTGCCTACCGTCCCTGTCCTATTGTTTCTTTTTATTTTTCTTATATGTGTCCATTTCATGTATTTATAACCATGTTTATACTTATACTTGTTATCTAATAATTGCTTGACAAAATAAAATAAAATAAAATAAATAAATCCCAGCTCAGTGCAACCAAGGAACTAAAAGGGAATGAAAAGAAAGGAAGGAAGGAAGGAGAATTCAGGGAAGGAGGGAAAAAAAACCCTGAGGGGGGGCCTTTTTACACCCCCTTCAAGAAAGATTGAAGCTTTGTTACCAGCTAAGTGGAAGTGAAGAAGTGTGGAGTGACTTATAGAATGAGGGCAACGTCCAAGCTTAAACTTCTCCTTCTTCAGGAGGGAGGGCAGAACGGGGTGGGGGTGGGGGAGAGGAGGAGGAAAGGAAGAGAAAAAATGAGAGGAAGGAAGGATTAAGAAGGAAAGAAGCGGAGGGGTAGAGAAGAAGGAAGCGGAGGGGTAGAGAAGGAGGGAGGAGAGAAAGAAGGAAAAAAGAAGGAGAGAAAAGGGAAGGGAGGGAGGGATGGAAGGGAGGAAAGGGGGGAGGAGGGAGGAGAGAAGGAAGGGAAGAAGAGGGAGAGGGAAGGGAGGG